CTCCCAAAGTTTTATCTGCCAGTTCTAGAGACTTGATATCTGTTTGGACCTTGAGCCCCTTGAGCGGCGGTTCTGTCCATGGAAAGGTAAGATGCTCTAAGATATCTGCAGCAAGTGTGGTGTTTGTCTGGGGATTGTCCTTTCTTGAGGTAGATCAAGGTAACAAGATCAGAAGGGACTGAAGAAAACGGTCCTTGCAAAATAATGATTAAACCTAAAAACTTTCCAGCTTCCCAAAGTAGTGTCCTGTATTGCTGTATCATGGGTATGTTAATACAAATTGGAATTTCTGTTTTGAAATGCTCAAGCTTTTAATCTGTGTTTATACCAGTATCATTAAATCCAATGATTCCCTTTGCAAGCCTTCTGCTAGGAGACTGTATCTGTGAAACCTTAGGTGTTAATGGGGGGGGAAAAAAAGTATGCAGTGGAAATTTCTTGATAGCATGCCTCAGCACTGAATGCTCCAAGTTCGTGCTGGAGTTAGCCAAGTATTGTGAGGGGAAGAAGGCAGAGTGTTCTGTATGGCTTCTGCCTCCAGGATAGAGGGGTTGTTTCTCATCTATATAGCAACGGTCCTCTGCAGTGGTACGCAGCACTTGTCTGTTATCTCTTGTCGGGTGGAAGGCTAAAAGAAAGCAAAGTGTCAAAGATAAACACTGGAACACACCCGTAGATGTGCTCAGAAGCAAAACTGTGTAGTTTGCAGGGGGTGACCAGAGCAATGGAAAGGGCTGACTTTGGAGAAGGCACGAGTGTGGGGCTGGATGGGTGGGATGAGGGAGGTCCTGCACAGGAGGCTCACTGGGGAAGGTGCAGGGCTGTGTAAGAAAGGAAGACAAAGCAAGGTGGTTTGTGGGTTTTTTTTCCTGTTGCGATGGGCAGAAGGGTGCATGCAGGAGTAGAACCTGTGAGACAATGAGGGTATGTTTGCATGTGATGCAAAAAAACCTAAGGAGCCTCCATAGGACTGGAGGGCGAGTGACCAAGTATTTTTATCCTTGCTTAGCATATGTCCATTGCAGCTATAGAGTAGAGATAAGTCAAGCAGAAGTGAGCTGAGATGCTTGGTAGTGGCTAGGGGAACCAAAGTAACTCTCGTTAGCTTGGACGGGGACATCGGTAGCACACTTGTGCCGGGACATCGGTAGCACTCTTGTGCCAGGACATGCTGTTATTGGAGAGTCCCTGCCACACTGAGTGGGTAGTACCCCTTTAACTTCATGTTTTGGTCAGATTGGTAGAAAAACCCTGTCTTCTGAGTTTCCCTTCCTATACTTGTTACTGCAGAAACATACTATTTACATCTTTCTTAAGCACACAAACCTGCTTTTTTCTTAGTTTTGTAGGTTTTTGCACCCACAAAGTGATTAGCTTCAGGAAAACAGACAGTTTTGTTCTTTATCTGCACAGAATAGATCTACTTAGAAATATCCTGTATTACTCAACTCCTGTGACAAAATGGGTCTGTTGGTCTGCTAGATTGGGAAGACACTTGGATTAAAAACCCAACAACCAGCTTTTCAGGGGATCTGCTTCTGTGCAGCCAAGGGATGGGGGGTGGTGGCTTGCACCCCTTTCCCAGGGGTGAAAAACACAGCTACCAAAACCCACCCCAACATGGCTGCCAAAACCTACTGGCATATAGCATTGCTGAGCAGAGGAGGTGACCTCATACCAGCCTCTGTTGTGCCAGATTGGTCTGAGATGCTGCCAAGTGCAGTGGGTGCCTGTGGGGCTGTGCTTGCCTCTTCCTCTGAGACTGGTGTTGGTGCCCTCATCTCTCATTGTTTTGATGGAAACTTGAAGCTTCAGATGACTTTCTTGCCCTCTGCTTAAACGGCCTCTCTTTTGTTTTGTTTTGGTTTTTTTTTTTAGTTCAGTGGTCATTCAGTGGTCTTGCAAGAAGGAGCTGCATTTTTTTGTTGTTGTTCTGGTGCACTAGGGAGAGAATTATCACTTTACTTAGTCCTACAAATTTTTAGTGATGTGGAACAGTTCACTGACATCAAGTATTATCACTGTTCTGTGATTCCATAGTAAGCTCTTGCCTCCTGGTGATAATAACTTTTTTCACAGGATGACTGCTTTCCCAAGGAGAAAACATGACAACCCTCCCTCCCAATCAGAGTTAAGTCTGTTTTTTAAAAGGAGACATACTAAGTATGTTAGCTCTCCCTAATGTTAACCAGCCAGTTTTTCTTGAAGAGATCATTGACTGAGTGTTCTGCTTTGCTTGAACTTGTACGATTATCTACATAGTTGTAGTACAGCTTAGAGTTTCTTCATGATTTGAATACTCTGGCCTTAAAGGTGTGCTGGGGGATCAGCTCTGGGTTTTAGTTTTACAGTCTTTTGCTGTGTCCTGCTGTGTTTGCAGTGCTGCCCCCACGCTCTCTACTTGAACACTGAGGCTTGTCAACCACAAATATAGGTAGGTGCAGACAGCAGGGTGTGCTCAGGCTTGTGGCTTTGCAATTCATGAGTTCCTAGCAAAACAAGCAGAGGCTGTAGATTTCTTATGCTGCAGATCTGGATGCCTATAAAAAAAGTTTGACCCAGGAAAGTGAGTCTCAGACAGAGTATTCTTAAATACTGGGTGACTTAACTGTAGGCTAGAAGTGGTGTGTGAGGTTTTTTTCCATCACTAAGCCCTCCTGGCTTTTGAACTGAAGTGAGATGAGGTTGCAAAGGCTTTTTTTCAAGTGATGCTGTAGCAGTGAGCACAGGTAGAGCAGCAACTCTTCCCGCTGCGAGTCCCTGTCTTGCACCTCTCCCATCCCCTGGGGTGCTGCTGTGGCACAACAAATTGAAATAATAATGCTGTTGTGACATACTATATACTACCAAGGTTCTTTGGCATAACTTAAAATTATTTCGTCAGCCTAGCCCTAACAAGGAAAGCAGCAGGTATGTGCAGGCTTTGTTCTTGCTGCGTGCTTTGTGAGTAAGCCTGTGCCTACACACCCCTGACACCAACAAAGGGCCTTTTGCGTAAGTCTGGAAACCTCCATTTGGGTTTGGCTCCTTCTGCGTTGTGTATCACTTCATCTTTTTCCCAGTTAAAACCCTGCAGCTTTGCTTTGAGGCAGACTTGGGAGTCAGGTGTCTGCCGTACAAGAAATGCTGGTTTTTCTGGCATGGCTGACCTCTTGCTTTTTCTTTGCTGATACCTGAGTCCTAGGAGGCTAGGGAAGGCAGTCAGGGGCAGCGAAGCTGTGCCTGGATTTAAGCATGACACTTCTATAGCAGGGAGAAAGGGCTCTTGGGCAACCCATGGGGAGAGCATGAGGCTGGAAGAGTTGGGCTCCGTGTGGAAGTGGTATGCAGAGGGATGCTTTCTGTGGGAATGCCTTCCATATTCTTCCTGAAAATTTCCATTAGGAAATGCTTTCCAGTTTCTTGGAGACAAATCAAGAATGTTGTTCCCTCCTAGAAGGAACTTGTTATCAGAGATAAGGGTTTAACTTTTTTTATGAATGCTTTGCCTTACCAAAGCTCCTGACTTTCTAAGTTTATTGCTCACTGTTAAATTTAAATTTTTCATGTCTGCTGCAATGTGTGGTATTTCTGTCCTTGTCTCACTTTCGTAGAGCTTATTTTAATAGTTAAATGGTTTTCAAAGGAGAGAAGGAAGAGCTGAGAAGCACACTTCCCAGGTTTCTAGTTTGTTCTGTTTTTCTTTTTTTGTGTGCAAAATGATCCCAGTTTTTTTCCTTTTAAAGCAGGGAGGATTCGGTTTGTTCAAACCAAACTGTTAGTGTTTGTCTTACCAGAGTGCAGTTCCCTCTTTTTTTGCAACACTTCACTGATGCCTTCTGCCAGATGCTTCATCCAGAAGCTAATTTATACACACAACTTGCCACAAACACAGGCACCAATGTTGAGAGGAACCTGGATGCACACAGGCAGAGATGATAATAAAATAAAACTAAATCTTATCTAAAATTTGATTGTGTTGTTCCAGATCAGCACACAGCAATGTTGCTATTTCAGCAGCCTGTATTTTCCTCTTCCTGTCAGTGCAGTAACTTATTGGATTGGTTTTATCCTGTTTTGCAAGAAAGAGCACTCTTTCTAAACTCTATACTGTGGTACATTGAACTCTTACCAGTCATTTAATATGCTAAAACTTTTAGCTGGCCTTACAAGGCACTTTTTCTTGTGATACACTTGTCCTTCAGTGTAAAGAATCATAGAATGTATTGGGCTGGAGGGGACCCCCAAAGGTCATCTCGTCCAACCCCTCTGCAGTGAGCAGGGATATCTGTAGCTAGATCAGGTTGCCCAGAGCCCCATCAAGCCTGACCTTGAATGTCTCAAGGGATGGAGCTTCCATCACCTCTCTGGGCAACCTGTTCCAGTGCTTTACCATGCTTATGGTAAAGAACTTCTTCCTAATATCCAATCTAAATCTACACGTTTCTCATTTAAAACCATTGCCCCTCATCCTATTGCTACATGCCCTTGTAAACAGTCCCTCCCCGACTTTCCTGTAGGACCACCTCAGGTACTGGAAGGCCGCTATAAGGCATCCCTGGAGCCTTCTCTTGTCCAGGCTGAACAACCCCAACTCTCTCAACCTGTCCTCATAGGGGAGGTGCTCCAGACCCCTGATCACTTTCATGGCCCTCCTCTGGACCCACAAGCCATGCAATGTCATTGCAGTCACACAGAATAAAACAATGGGTGGAGGGGTCAGTGGAAATACTGACACTTGCCACTTTGGTAAACCTCAGGTATTTTCCATAAAGATCAAGAATAGCATTGTTCTCGTGTGGCATTGTAGTTTAATATGTAAACACATCTGTCAGCAAGATGCCTCATGTCAGGTGCTAAGTTTGTTCTTGATTTGGTATCCCCATACTTTTATGCTGGTTCTTTGTCACCACCTCTTTAAATAACAGAGCCGTAGCCTGTGTTTACTTCTGATGTTGATGCTGATGCAAGGGTGAATGTATTAATTGGTATTATTTAACAAGGCTTACTTGTTCTTACAGCTTGCAGGGACAGCAGTTCTTGCGATTGGACTATGGCTTCGGTTTGATTCACAGACCAAAAGCATCTTTGAACTGGAATCCAACAACACGACGTTTTACACAGGTAAACTAGGAGATGGCTTGGGGTGATAGATCACACTTCTGTGCCCTGATTTCCAGACTGCTTAAAAAACCTTTGTCTTCCCTGAAGGCTAAAGACAAAACCCTAAACGGCCTCAGTGGGGCAGAGAGCAGCATCCCCTGACTGGTGCAGGGGGCCAGCCTCTGTTGTGAGCTCTCGTGCAGACAGCAGCAGTGTCATGCTAGCAGTTTGGTAGCAGGCTCTTGCATTGTATATCATCTCATCTTTTTCCCATCTTAAACCCTGCAGTTAAGCATTTTGTAATCCCAGGGACTCCTGGTAGACATAGAGGATGTCTCTTCCTGATGTGTCTCACAGTAAGTCAGCGAAGTTTCACTCTAAATGGGTAGTTACAGATGACATCAATAATTAATTTTTTTCCTCCAAAGTGACCAACCTAAGCTACCCAAACCCACAAGTATTATTGTCTCATCTCTCAGAAGAAGTATATGTACTATTATCTGATATACAGCCCTATGTATGCTAACTTACACTGAGCATAACGGAAAGGATGCACAAATACCTTAGTCTATATGAGCAACTATTATGGGCAACCTAGATCAATGTAGCTTTAGTTAGGCCAGGTAGAAGTTATTCCTTGATATATTCTTTTTGCAAGATTACCAATTAGGCAATGAACATGCATGTTTTCAGTTTGTTATTCTAATGTTGTAGGAGTTCGTAACTGAATTGGATGTTATCCTAACTGTAAGAGTTCGATCTCTATAGTCACTCTTAGGCTTGGGCAGAGGAACACATGCTGCTTTGGTTGTTGTTGCCTTAGTTCTTCAAACATTTTTTGAAACAAAGTAGCTGCATTTGAAGACTGCTAGCAATTGGGAAGAAAGCAAATTCTGATGTACCTTTCTTACACATGTGTCATCTTTGATTTGAACAGTCCTCGTACATACGTATTTCACATTCCTGTAGCACCTGGATTTGCTGTACCCTGTATGGCATCACTCATTAGCCATCCACAGCATGGTTAGGTTGGTCTTGCCAAGAAAATCAGCTCCTGCAGTGAGCTACTCAACCTGTCACAACACCCAAACTAGTGTCTAAAGGGTCAGTAAAGACTGTGTAAGACATGCTGGGGGGTGGAACTCTTATTGCAGCCTTATAGTACCAGAGTAGCCTGTGCCTGCTGTTAAGAATGATGAGTTAGGCTTGTTGCAGACCATATCTGGGAATATTGAAATGCTTGTGTGACTTCAGGAAGAGGCCACAGGCATGCAGATAGCTTATCTGTGAGACAGCTTGTATTTCACCCTTGGTATGCTGGCATGGTAGCAAACTGGGTTCTTTTTGCAGCTGCCAGGAAGCTTTCCAAATGCTCTTAACTGGACCTTGGAAAGGGAACAGAAATCTGAACTTAGCCATTGAGCTGAATATTTAACAAGTCATATTTTGGGTAGTCTAAAACAACTCTTTTGCTTCCTAAAATGTAAAAGTTTTATGATGTGATACTTAAGCTACTGGCTGAATGCAGCAAGTGAAATCTACTTGAAATCTCTGTAGGTTAAACTGGGTTTTAAAAAAGTTTAATAGGAATACTGTTTTAACATATTTTTATGGGAGTAGTTACTGACTGCAGTTTCCAACAGGAAATTGAAAGAATCTGTCAATTTGCACCTAGTAACAAAGCAACTTGCCTCAAAAGCTTTCTATATAACTGAAAATAAACTGAAATAAGAGGTTCTGATGGACTTTTTTTAAAAAAATGGGAAAAGTTTAAGCTGAGGTAAAAAAATTGGTGGCAGGATTTTCTGCTGAAATGTCAGGCTTAATCACTTACATGCTTAACCAACTAGATGTTTATTTTGGCAGTTAATCTTACTGGTTTGCATCTAGAAAGTATCATTTGCAAATGCTTACATATGGCTTTCTTTAAATAGTACTGATTTGGTGTCTGAAGGCTAGAACTTATTTTTGTCTATGTTGATAGAAATGTCATACTAATTCTACCTGCTTTGTGCTGATTCTGGCTCATGTTTCACTACCCCAATAATACTTTCTTGCCATCCTACTGAGTCATTTTGCTTGCTACATCTTGCTGCTCTCACCAGCTAGCAGCTGTAACGCTTCAGCTGGCAGTTCCCAAGCTTAGGAGGAGAGGATTTGGCATAAATGGAGTGTTTTAGGCCAGAAATGTTTGCCCTCTGCTCTGGCACACTCGCTACCTAAATTCTGGGCAGAATGGTCTACAGGCTCAGTCTCTTGATAGGGTTTGAAGAAGTATCTGCTTTTGCCAAAGCAGAAAATGTCAAGTTTCTTGTAGTTAGAGAGCCTGTCAAGTTGGGCAGCTGAAGTGTAGAGTTCTACCACCATGACTGGTGGAATAATTCAGTGTTTCCTGATGGAAGAGCAGAGTGGGAAAGCATTTAAAACCTTGTGACAGATGATTATGACACCTTTTAATACCCATTCTCCTAGAGGTAGTGTGCTTCAAGAATTCTCAGATGCTGATAAATCACCAGTTCCAGCTATCTTTAACTGCAGCACAATCTTCATCTGAAGATAAGTTGATAACTCTGGCTCTGAGCTAGTTTTAAAATGTGTCTTACAGTTTGTCTTAGCTTTATCTTGCCCATTTTCTAAAACTTGTGAAACTGCAATAGTGGTACACATTAATTGTAACAAGTTGAAGCTTTTGTTTATCAATACATTTTCCTACAAGTTTTGAGATGTGTTTGCTTTGAAAATTAAGCACAACACTTTTTTTACTTGAAACACCTCAGTAATGAAACTTAAATCTTGGTGAAAACTACAAATGCTATTTGTGGAGCAACTAATCTTATACCTTGCTGCTGAGCTCTCAACCAGCCTGTATACATGTGTCTCTCTCCTCCTAGGAGTTTACATCCTTATTGGAGCTGGTGCACTTATGATGCTCGTTGGTTTCTTGGGATGCTGTGGTGCATTGCAGGAATCTCAATGTATGCTTGGCCTGGTAAGTGTTCAGAGTAGTGTTTAAATTTTTAGCAGCATGATGAGAAAGGAAGGAAAATATTACTGTGCAGTTAAAGGGCAGCAGATGCTGATTGTTTTGGCTTCACAATGTTTAAACTCATGGTCCCCTACATAATGCTAGAGTGTTAAATTAATATAGTTTCCATTTCTGGTCCTAAATCCAAATGTCCATGCTGTATTTGAACACAGGATGACTTCAGGACTTAGTGACATATTCAGGCATTGAAGTATCAAGACTGCAAGTATGTCTGAACACAGAACTAAAAAGTTGATAAGAGTAATGCTATTTATTAAACAGTTTGTTCTGAACTCTGAAGGCTGTGCAATCTTTAGTCTTTGAGACCAGAACTGTGATATTTGATCCTTGAAACAACAAGCCTCTACTGTTCATGATAACAGGATGAGGTCTTCTAGTTGACAACTGCTCTGCAAGCCAATTATTGGAGAGCAACCTCATTGTTTTCAGTCTGGAGGGGCCAGCAGAGCTTACTGGGTTCATGCACATCTGTACACTTGTGGAACTACTCATCCAAATTACTAGAAGACTTAGTTAATAAAAGACTACTACTATAGCCAGTGAAAGAACAATTCCCCTTCTGTGTCATGGAAGAAGTTAATTTCAGATATTTCATGCAAAATGATGTCCCTAGCCCTTCGTTGTAATTCTGAACATCTCTCTTTAAACTGCCTTTAAATGGTAGTGGAGTTTTGGACCCAGCAGTCAATTATAACACAGAGATGACACTTTTATTTCTGTTTTGTGGGATACATGCCAAAGAAGTGACCATTGGCTCTCTGGGAGTTGGTAGCAAGCTAGGTATTAAGTAGTGACTCCTAAAGCAGTAGGAGTGACAAATCAGGGAAACAAGTTAGTGTCAGTTGTTGTGATGGTGTCTGAGCGACCTGGGCAACTTCAAAGTCTGAGTTAACAGATGATTAGTTTTAATTAACACTGATCAAAAGGAGGACTTCTGCTTGGAAAACACTTCCAGGCTTTCTGATCCTCCTGGGAAGAAGTGCTGACCCAGTGCAGCATTTCCTAGTCTTACCAGTGTTTCAGACCTCCATCTGGAACTTGGTTGAGTGATGGTTCCCACAAGGCTGGACACTGGGGACTGGACAAGCTTGCAGTATATGTATGTGATGCTGTTTTGTGGTGCTGTGGTCTTAATGATGTGGTCCTTCTTTTCTAGTTCTTCCTTTTCCTTTTTGTGATTTTTGCCCTTGAAATTGCTGCAGCGATCTGGGGATTTGCAAATAAAGAAAAGGTAGGTAACTCTTAAAAGTTGGTGGGGTGATGTGATGCTGGCACAGGTTGCCCACAGAAGTTGTGGATGTCCCATCACAGGAAATGTTCAAAGTCAGGTTAGATGGGGCTTTGAGCTACCTGATCTAGTGAAAGATGTCCCTGTGTATGGCAGGGGGAGTGGACTAGATTATCTTTAAAGCTGCCTTCTGACCCAAACAATTCTGTGATTCTATGACTGTGCCCACAGAAAGTTAGCAGTCTGAAATCTATACCAGTACTAGTCAAATCCTGATTACCCAGAGAATTTGGGGGAGGGAAAGAAGATGCGTTCTAGCAAAACTATACAAGAAATTACACTCAAATGCTTAAAAATGAGACTAGCAGAGAATCCAGACTCCAAGATGCTGTTCCATACTAGAGATGCCCTCCAGGCAGTACCTGGCTGAGCTGTGAAGCGGGCCGTCAGTGAAGCTTTACCACTTCTAGATATGAGTTGGGTCAGCTATGGGCTGAATGTTTCTGTATCTAAATCATGACTGACCTGGGGTGTCCCCTCACAAGCAGCCAAGACTCTGTCTTCTTTCAAGATGAGGTGCTTGGTCATCAGGGTTGCTTTTCTGCTTCTATTATACAGCAGAGGAATACAGTGACTTCTGGGGTACAGAAATGAGTATTTTTGTGTAATCAGGGGCCAAGGACTTTGTTCTCTTACTCATCCTAGAAGCTCAGAGCTTTAGAAGGGAAACTGAATCTTATCTGTTTAGGTGTGGCTTTTAAGGTGAATGTACCAGTTAGGCTTACCTATTTAGAGTGAGAAATGCTGTCCACCTTACGTTTCTACATGTCAAAAGGATGGGTATTGTAGGTTGCAGAACTTTTAATGACTGACTCAAAACAACTTTTTCATAATTAATATTAAGGTAAGACAGTAATACACCACAACTCTTTGCTATCCTGTAGGTTATTGAAGAGTTAAAGGACTTCTACAAGGAAACCTATGCAAAGAGGTCTCAAGCACCTGCCAGAGAGACACTGAAAGCATTTCAGTTAGCTGTAAGTACATGGTTATACTTAAACTAGACAGTAATGCAGCTTGTTCACACTGTTCTCAATGTGATCCAGTCCCCTCTACGAGTCTAGTACCTTACTAACTAGAAGAAACCAAAGGAGTACTAGTAACAAGTTGCAGAGAAGATCTTTTTATATAGTATCAATGAATTCGGTATGCTTTTTTGTCCCTCTGAACTGCATAGAACTAGCTCTTGTCTTACTAAAACTCAGAAGCAAGCTGGGAAAATAGATGTGTGGTATTGATCTAGAGGCACCATTGTATGCGTACCTGCATGTCTACGAGGAGTTCATCCTTGTGTCTGTAAGGAATACAAGCTGTCACCAAAATTAATGTGTATATACTTAATGAGATCTAGCTCTTCCTTTCAGAATCTTGCCTTTAGTGTAATAAAGGCTTTTTAAAATTAGCTTTATAGCAGTCATATTAGCAGGACTTCAAAACAAATTTTCATAAGATCTGCAGTAAAACCCATTGTAACCTATTTCTCCTTTTTTTTACCAGATACACAACAAAAATAAGAATTATTTAACCTGGTTTTCTTTTTTTCTGTTTTCTCTTGTAGCTAGACTGCTGTGGTCTTACAGGAGCTCTTGAGCAGCAGTTCATGGACACCTGTCCGAAGAAGGCCTTACTCGAGTCTCTTTCTGTAGTGGTAAAGCATGACTTAATTCACCAGCAGCTCTGCCCAATGAGTAGAATGAGAAACATGTTTCTGAATATTCCTTCCATGGGAAATTCCGGTGTCACACTTACTTAGCAGCCTAGCTCTATAATCAGTCTAGTTGTGGAAAATGAACATAATGTCACAGTGGAAAGAAGTAGGGTCAGCAGGAAATCTGAACTTGCACAAGAAGTGTGTGGTCTGTGTGTCACTAGGCTCACTGGAGTGATGGACAGTGTAAGGCCAAAACTTCACCTAAAAAAATGCTAGAGGGCTCTTCTCCTGGTGGCTGCTGCTATCACCAGAGCACCCTTTTAGTGCTGTGTAGGAGCTGTTTCTTCCCCTCTTGGTTAGGGAAAAGTAGACCATGGGGTGGGAGCATGTCTGAAGTTTTAACAAGAAAAGGAGAGGGGGGCAATGCAATGGTTGGTCTGTTTAGGTGAGTATGTCACTGTGAAGCTCTCCGAATTGGAATGCCCTTTTGAAACATTGCTGCAAAGATGCCTGTATGCCACAGATACAGGAGAGGCATCTTGTATAGTTCTTAACTATCCCTTTTCCTCTTTTTCTTACAACTGCTTTGTGCTGTTGCTTCATGTTCCAAGACAGCCTGTATGCTCAAAGACAGCCTGTATGAGTCTTTCCATATCAAATAAGGGTATTACAATGCAGGAATTCAATTAATGACTTGATTTTTCCACTTGTGCTCTTCCTTTCACTACAGATGATTCTGTGCCTTCAAATACCTGACCACATGAGACATTTCAGTCTGACTTTAGACTGTGTCTTTAGTCCTATCCATACAATATGCAATGAGTTAGACTATATGGGAGTAGCTGAGAGAGCATGCAGGTTTTATTGTTTGCTTTTATTCTGCTAAGTATGTTTTAGCTTCATCTGTTGACTTAATCTTGTGATGTGTTTATGGCCTAGTCCCAACTGTAGAAAAATGGTAGATAGACTGCAAAGTTAAAGGGATGTAATGGTGTGGCTGATCTGTGTGCCTCTAAGAGGCAGTGCTGTATTGATATTCTGACTTTTTTTTTTAGATATTCTGACTTTTTTTTTAGATATTCTGACTTTTTTTTTAGATATTCTGACTTTTTTTTTAGATATTCTGACTTTTTTTTTAGATATTCTGACTTTTTTTTTAGATATTCTTGCCAATATATCCCTTTAATACTTGATTCAGTCTTTCATTCTAGACTGGATAAGGAACAACTAAAGAAAAGTAGTTTTCAGCAGCTCACTGTAGACTGCTGCTTGAATAAGTAGGACAGGAGTTGGGATGAGACTTTGACCAGTTACCAAGCTCTTAAAGATACATACCTCTGTAATGTTACCTCTGTAACATACCTTGTTCTTTTTCTTGGCTACCGTGTGTCTGCTGGGGAAAGGACTGGACTTAAATTTTTCTTTAGCTGCAATGGCAATTCATGGTCCTGGGAGGTTCAAACTGGCACTTTTATAAATCTGCCTATAGCCCAGCATGTATGCACGCAGCTCATGAAATCCTGCCATTCCCGTGCACCGTAAGGTGTCTGCAAAATAACAATAGCAATTGCAAATACCAAGAGTGGCTTCAAATCTATTTTGAGAAGGGCTGAGCAATACAGCAACTTAAATGCTGACAGCCATTAGTAACAAGCAAAGTCTTAGTACAACTGCAGTTGGTCTTGATCTACCTGATTGACTGAAGTGTTGAGAAGAGAATCCTGCTGTAGCCAAGGCGCAGTGAAGAGGTTTAGATACTTGAAGAATAGATTTAAACTTCTTCACCAGCTTTTGTGTTGGAATATCCCTGACTCTCTTTAAAGATGTGAAAATCAGCTTTCAGAAGATGAGTCTTCATCTCTAGTGCAGGCAGACTTGGTTGAAGGTGTAGCATCAGTTGTCAGACTTGAGCTCAAACAAGTAAGCAGAAACAAAACTTCTGTAATTATGAAACACTACTGAACAGTCTGTTTCCTTTCAGTCATGCCCTGATGCCATTGATGATGTCTTCAATTCAAAATTGAATGTGATTGGAGCAGTTGGCCTTGGCATTGCTGTGGTAATGGTGAGTTTCCAGATTATTTAGCAGGCAGCTGTATGGCCAAAGGACACTTACAGCAGAAGTCTGTTCAACACTAGACATGGCAGTCTACAAGCCCATTCCATTATTGACAAGTACCAGCAGGATCAGGGTGTGTTCTGCGGAGCCCTGAGGCAGCAGAGGGTGGGGTGTCTTGGACCTCCCTGCTTCTGCTTTGGATTACAGTCTGCCTCCTTGTAGTTTTAGCAGTGGTGAAGTTTTATTGGTGGTGTGTGTATGTATAGGGTGAAGATGTATTGGTCATGTTGCCAGCCCATTTTTCAAGCCTGGTATCTCTTCGGGGTTCTTGCTTTTGTTTCCTTTATAGCAATTAAAGAGTCTGCTGGACAACTGAAATAACTGTGCTAGTAAGAAAATTTGCAGTTTTTTGTTTGAATACTCTGGAGGAAAGTATGACATGGATGCAAATATGCTGGGATGATCAATTTTTTTTTACGAGAACTGATTTATAGCTGATTTGTTTTGAAGTATTGAGGGTGAAGGGGATTCATGAGAATGGGCTGAAATTTGGAGGTGGAGGGATGGGAGAGGCAGGGACATGAACTGCAGAGTAAAGTGTTAATATGGCCTCTGGGCTGGGAAGAGCAGCTATGCTTGTCCACATGTTGATAGACAAATGTGTTTTGGTCCCCTGACTTCTAATGTGTTTGCTTTCTTCACAGATTTTCGGCATGATATTCAGTATGGTTCTCTGCTGCGCTATCCGCAAAAACAGAGAAATGGTCTAAGAGCTAAAAACCCAAGACTGCTGCACTATAAAAATCTTTGTCATTAACTTCAGCGTTCTGAAAGCATTTCTAAAAAGTTATATATTTGTTACCTTTTTAATGCTTTATTTGGTACTGATGTAGGTTTGCTTTATATGTTCTAGTTAAAATGATAAAGGTATATCTGACTCAAGAAAAATATTGTATATAAAATACCTGACTTTCTTGAAACTTACGTAATTTGGATGTAATTTATGTTGGAGACAATTTGATACTTAATAAAGAGTAAGATGTATTATATGTTTGTGGGGGAGAAGAGATTTTACTATGCTTATTAATCATGCTGTTTGCATAGCATGGAGTTGAACTTGCATAACCTGTTCAGTGTTAAATCACTAGGGCTTTAGTATAAAGCAGGGAATAACTCCTGTGCTGATGCCATATCTGAAGGGAATTCCAAGGAATGGAAAAGTTGACTGTCAGAGCATGTTAGGAAAGGTGTTGTCACTCCTCCTTTTCCTCGGTGTGTGTGAACAAAAGCAGTTCTTATACTCCTAAAATGTTACTGCTGTAACACTTCCACAGTCATCTTCATACAGGGTGGCAAAGGATGACTGTCATACTGATGATAATGCAGTCAGACCATGGATGCAAACAGCCTGGGCTCTACCCTGGAGCCAGCTGGGCTTTCTTATATCAGCCTGGCATCTGACATGGCCTCAGTCCCTGGACAAGGCAGATTCCCATAGTGTATGCTCATAGAGTTTTCTTAGTGGCTGGCTTTGTGCTTTGTATCATAGAATGGTTTGGGTTGGAAGGGACTCTCCAAAGCCAGTGAAGTACAATCTCAAGGGCTCAAGCGTGTGTGCCAAATCTCAGGTTTCCAAGTGGAAAAAAACAAAAGTTGCATGAGAAGCTACTGTACAGCTCTAGTTGCTGCTTACAGCAGCAGCTACACCTGTGGCTATCCTGTTCAAGTCTAAAAATGGGTATGGGAGGGAGCAGAGATATTAGTGTGGAACCCTTAGCCTAAAGAATTACCAATTTGTCCTGTACTTCTACTCTAAATGGCTTCTTAAGTGTTTTTTTCTCTCTAAAATATCTTCTGGTGGGAGCTGCCTATGCACTTGGATCCTTACCAGCAAGTTGCTATGCTATACCTGTATCTGGTGTTCCCCTACTGTAGTATCTCAGCTGTGTTCCTAGGGGCTTCTGGTCTTTGTCTTCTAGGGACTACAAATGTCTTTTAGTAGTCCTTGCTTGTTCCCACCTTTCTCTTGAAAGGAGGCTGTTTATTATGAGAAATATCAGAATTCTTGGGAGTCAGACTCTGGCTGTAGCTCTGGACTAGTGCACAAATGTATTGCCCACCTTTGTGTTGTGCTTTGTCTCTCATCTAAGAGGTTATACAAACCATACAACTCATGTGTAATGTGTTGCACTATTCTGTGTTAATGGGCCCTTCTTAAAAAAAAGTCTGTATTTCAAAGAAGTTGATGGTAATCATGCTTTTGTGTGTCTTACAGAGACTGGAATGACTCCAGAAAGGAGTTGATCTAATTTTCCTTCTTGGATACATGAGAGAGCCTGGTGGGAAAAGTCTAATCTCATATGGGCATTTGAGACCTACAGTGTCCTTGAGCTTTTACACAACTGAGAAGTAGCATTTTTGTCAGCTGTGCAATTCTGGGCATGAGACTGAACCTGACACCTGAAAGAGCTGGGGTGAATTTGTTAACCATAGTGAAAGTTTACTGCTGACTTTAGCAGCCCTTGGTTTTATTGCTCCATGTTGTGCATGTGTGCAGGTTGTCAACATCCACTGCGGCTGTAGTCCAACACTAGCAAAGCTTGTCAATGTCCAGGAAAATGCAATGAGTTGTAACTAGGGTGAGGAGAACTAGGCTGTAGGTGCAGTGACTCAGCTTGAGATGTGTTGAGGTGACAGCTACAGAGAGCTGTCAAACTGGCATCCAGGTCAGCTGAATATCCAGAAGACTTAAGTTTATACCTTCTGCTGTTGCTGCCTTCTACAGAAGCTGGATGGGGACTTCCTGAGAGTTAGTCTTTATCTTACAATGCTGCTGTCTTAACCAGCATTTACTGCAACATTTTGTGCCTCTGATGCCTGCCCCGTTCCCCCCTATGTTTAAGTCCTACAGCCCAATCTTTGGCCCCTATTTTTAAACATCTGTGTAGGTTGCTGTTTTCCGAGTAGCCAACAGATGGGCAAGTCTTTTGTCAGGGACTAAAGAGCTACTGTTTATTACTCAAGTACTAGTTTCCTTTTAGCAAGAACATGAACTACAGATGCAAAACCTGGTTGCAGTCATCCTACAATCTGCAAGCTGGCCTGGAATGAATGAGTCTCAGTTATGAATACTGATGAGTTATATGACAAGAAGCTTTGCTTTACAAGTAGCATTTGTGACTAAATTTCCTGAAGAATTTGGTTCTAAGCAATGGCAGCCCTGAGTGTCTCTGTTTGTAGCACTGACTGTCCAAGGAGGGAGGGAGTTCCCATCCTCAAGTCAGATTAGGGTTGTCTCAAGGAAGCCAGAGCAGAATGTGACTTGTGAAGTAACACGTTAGAGGCTCAGGTGTACAAAAGGGACAACATATTTTTTCTGGGAAGCAGGAGTGTGGGAACTGCAATACTGAAGGGGAAACACTGTTTGGGACAATGTCAGAGTGAGAATTTTTTTCCATGCATGTCCTGTGGCAGAAGTGACTAATGGTGGCTTAATGCCTGTGAAGGGAGGGAGAGTGAAGTGAGTCAGGACACAGCAAGGATTCCTGTTAGGAAGGGGTCTCTCCTGGTTCAGTGGGACAGCAGAGAAGTACTGATGCTTGGAAAAACTTAGGAGTAGAAAAAAAATATTCTTGAGGTGGGATAGAATGTGTATTGGGAGGAATAGCTAGGATGAAGGAAAACAAAGTAAAATACTTTCTTTTCTATGCCATTCTAGTTTCCCTGTAGGTAAACAGAAAGGTGTAACTATGTTAAGACCTTAAAGCCTGCCTGGAATGTGAGAAACCACTCCAGAAAGCAAAAGGGCTTAAGTAGTTTTAATTCCAAACACAAGCAGATTTCTTCATTAAACACAGGTGCTGGTAATCCTTTGCACTGCATTTGCTTAATGTAGCTATGGTTGGTGGCCAAATGTGATACTGTATGTTGTACATCTATGGGAATTGCTTGTGGATAGCAAAGAGCTGTGGGATCAGAGCAGTCCTGGTCTAGATAGTGGCTTGGATTGGGAGGTAGATGAAATGATAACTGGCAGTGGGCATAAGTCCTATGTTAGGCACTAACATAAGCGCTGTCTGTAATGCTGTTAAATGGATAACGTTATGCAAAGATTGTATGAGCTGATGAAATGTGTGTGGCAAAGTGGCAGAGCACAGGTTGCTGCTGGGTTTTGGCTTGTGTAGGTGGGGAAATACTGGTGGGCTCTGCGCTGTATTGCTCTGAGGCTGCTGTCAGCTGTGCCCCTTGTCTGCTGCTGTGAGGAAAACAAGGGGAGATAAAGCCAAACCGCTAAGGGGTATGGCTATTTATATGTTGTAAGCTAGCCAAGGACAGTAGGGAAAAATAATAAGCACATGTAGAATATGGGAATTTGCACCAGGAAACAGCATATCTGCTTGACTAAGGGGCAAGGACTTTACAGTGAAGTCCTGAAGAAGGTTGGGTTTGTCAGTCTATGAAGTAATTAGGCCAGGAGAAAGATCTTTACACTGACTTTAGAAAAATCAGAGCTAGCATGCCTGAGGAACAGAGTCTCAAGCTAGCTGCATGGTCAGCAGTGTCAGAAGCTCCACCAAGGCAGGGAGAGCCTGGTTTTCTGCACGCACAGATGTAACTGCTGGAAGTTAGCTTCCTTCTTTACAGTGGAGCTGGGAACGTCTTTTGTGGTACAGCACATTGTCATTTTACAAAAATCCTAGTGCACCAGCACGGTAATTGAGTACAAGAGAAGAAATTACAGCAGGTCCATGAAGTGTGGGATGTGGGGAGAAGTTGTCCATAGTGGAAAGAAAGGTGTGAGCCTAACCCGTTTAGGGGGCACTAAATCGTATCCTCTCAGACACTAAGAAATTAAATCCATTATACCATGTTCTGATAATGTTTTAGCAATTAATAGGCCTACTTCTAAAGGGTGTAGAGAAGATGTATTTGCAGAAGGGGAGGATGTACTTGCCTGCAGGGTGACTTTGAAAAGAGCTCCTAAAGGAATTGTTCTATAGCCAGAAAAGCCTGGATTTATTTTGACAGGCTATCCCAGTCAGGACTATACTTCACCCTCTCCACCCTGTAGGAGGAAAGTATATGAAGCGTTTGCAGACAGTTTTTAGGAACTACCTGTACAGCTCCACTATTCTTGGTTTTCAGATGAATTTGTAAGTCCAAGCAAACTTGGCAGAAGATGGGCTCAGAGCAATTCCTCTGAGGGAGGAAAATAAAGGGGGGGGACGGGACACATGACACACACTACACTCCCAGTGATAAATGTGAGTCAGATGTAGTTTCCATGAGGGATGTGCTATGAAGTTCAGGCTGAGCCCTGCCCTGTTTTCTTACAAGTGCTTGCAAGCCTTTGCAGAGACAGCTGTAGGCAATGATACAAGCAATGCAGGGGCTCTATCTAAGTACAACAGCACCTTTTTTTCATCCTGTTTTCTTTGTTTTTCGCTGCCAGCCTCCTGCTGGCAGGTTGCTAATAAAGTGAAAGTAGGCAAGAGTGAGAGCACCCCGGGAGGACATTGCTGCACTGTGTAGCCCTGGAAGCTGTGCTGGGGGCCAGGAGTCTTGCAGTGGAGTAAACCAAGTCTGTGTAGCAGCTCCTACTGCTGCCCATGGGGGACACCCCATGGGGCTGGGGGCTGCTGTCCCTCGGTGAGGGTTGCTGCTCCAACTAAGGAGCACGAACTTAGCACAGCCCAATCTGGGTTTTGTTGGGTTTCTATGTTTAGGGGGTGGTTTATGCCTATGGCCATGGTATAATTATCATGATTATAAAATAGCCACCTCTTCAGTTTCTGCCTGTTGGCAGCTCTGAGGAAATGACCTAATTTGAACTGTCAGCCGTGAGGACCTTGAACCCTATCAAAAGTCACTTTTAAATGAACCTAGAACATCTAGACAGTTGCCAGACTTTGCTGGCAATGATAAAAATAGGTTAGTGAGATTTTTCCACTGCTGGACACAGGCTTCCACATGCGTGGCTCCTACAAAATGAATCCACAAGGCAGCCATTCATGGCATGTTGAATGCTTCTTTTCTTTTGCCG